CACCAGTATTGTGAACAGAGACTATGGCATAGACTATTTTGAGTTAGTTCGCAAACTAGAAAAGCGTTTTAACTTTGTGGATCTACCAGAGACTCTTCAAGTCCAGTTTATGGGAGCCCATCAGAACACAGGAGAAAAACTTGAAGATTGGGCTGACAGATTACTTTCCCTAGCTATGAAAGCTTTTCGTGACCTGCCAGAAGAACACGTATACTCACAAGCTGTATGGAGATTCTGTCAGGGATGCTGTGATAAAGAGGCTGGTCAAAATGCTGCTATGTCAAAACCTAAATCTATTGAGGACGCCATAGACAAGATCAAGTGGTACCAGCATACTACCAAAGCCATTTATGGTAAACCCATCAGACGCCGAGAATTTTCTGAAGATTCCGAGCATGAGATTGATTCTGTGAGAACAATTAACGCAGCAGTGAAAAGCGATAAGAATTTTTCTTCATCAGCACATCAATCAGATCAGCTAAAGTCTATGGAGGAACAAATCAAGATTCTTGTGGACAACATGCAGATGCTTCAAACAAAATTAAGCAGCATGGAGAATAAACAGAAAAGAAAACCACAAAATACGGAGACCCGTACATGCTTCAATTGTGACAAACCAGGGCACCTAGCAAGAGATTGCAGAAAGCCTAAGAAGTTGAGAGCCCAGAATCAAAGCAGAAGTCAGAATACAAACGGAAGTTCACAGTCCGAGACGAGACCTTTAAACGAGAGTGGGCCGGGTCAACAGGCGTAAATCCGACCCGAAATACTACAGAGCGCCTCAAGAAAAATTGTGCTTCAGAAGAAACGAACCCTAAATCAATAAGACATACATCAAGGAAACGCAAGAAGCATAGAAGATCTAGACGGAAAACATCAAATAGAAATCAGACCTCCTATTCTGAAGATAAAAGCGCAGATGTAGATAAAACAATGACCATTCTACAGTTGGGATCAGCTTCTATGTTGAGATTAAATGTAAAAGTGAACTCTACAGACATTGTTGCAGTAATAGATACAGGAGCAAAAGTCACTATCATCTCAGATCGGGTGTATGAAAAGATGCAGATTAAACCACCTATTAAGAAACGCACTGTCATGCATGGTGCAGGGCGTGATATGAAAATGGATACATTCATCATTGGTCCAGTTGACATCAAGATAGGATCCAAAACATACCCATCTGAAATATACGTAGCACCTATGGATGATGACATGCTCCTAGGCTTAGATTTCATGCAGGAAAACAATGTTATACTCGATTGCAGTAAGAACCAGTTCTCCATTAACTCTGAAGTTTTGCAGATGTCATATGGAAGGAGTCGGGAAGCTCCAACTGTTGCCAAAGTAACAGTGCCTGGTAAAACTGTAATTCCACCTAATTCAGCCATACATGTAAATGGTAAACTATCTCGACACATTGAGGGAAGCTACATTATAGAGCCTGAGGAAGATATTCCAGTTATGATGCCACGATGTGTATACTCTAAACAGAACTCACCTAGGCTATGTTTAGTAAATGCCAGTGACCGATACTTTACCATTCGAAAGGCACAATAGTTGGAGAAGCGTTGTCAGCCGACCCAATGACTGTTGTATCAGCATCGAAACCCAAAAGTGAACAACCATTACTGGAAATTCCAGAGCATTTGAGTTCCCTTTTCCAGAAATCCGTTGCAAACCTAGACCAAAGTCAGAGCAAATTATTGATGAATCTACTCAAGGAATATAAAGATATTTTTGCTGAGAATGATTTTGATCTTGGCACCTTTACAGAGATAGAACATTCGATAAACACTGGCTCTGCATCACCGATTAAGCAGAGGATGAGACGTACTCCATTAGACTTTGTACAAGAGGAAGAAAATCATTTACGCACAATGCTGGACGTGGGTATAATTGAACCGTCAACCTCGGAGTGGGCGTCGCCGCCCGTACTTGTACGGAAAAGAGATGGCAAGGTCAGATGGTGCATAGATTATAGGAAACTTAACTCGGTGACAAAGAAAGATGTTTACCCTTTACCTCTAATTGAAGAGTGTATTGACACATTGTCCGGAAATGAGTGGTTTTCCAAACTTGATGCCAACTCAGCGTACTATCAGATAAAAGTCAAAGATTCGGACAAGGACAAAACAGCCTTCATAACAAAGTATGGGTTATTCCAGTTTACCCGGATGAGTTTTGGTCTTTGCAACGCTCCATCGACTTATGCTAGAGTCATGAACTTAGTCTTGCGCGGACTGACATGGAACATTGTGTTAGCCTTTCTGGACGACATCCTTGTGATGGGAAAATCATTTGAGGATCATCTGCGCAACCTGAAAATAGTCTTTGATAGATTTCGTCATAACGGTCTAAAGCTAAAAGCCAGGAAATGCCTTCTATTCCAGAAAGAAGTAGAATTCCTAGGCCGGAAAGTAAACAAAACAGGATTAGCTATAGGGGACGAGTACGTCGAAGCTGTGAAAGATTGGAAAACTCCAGCAACAACTAAAGAAATTGAGAAATTTCTGGGTTTTGCAAATTACCACAGAACATTCATCAAGGACTATGCCAAGATGGCAGCACCTCTTAATCGGCTTACAGGCAAGAAGCCGTATGTGTGGGGACCAGAGCAGCAAGACGCCTTTGACAGTTTGAAGTTGTCACTTATAACTACTCCAGTTCTAGCATTACCAAACTCTAAGGATTTATTCATCCTAGACACAGACGCGTCAGACTTTGCAATAGGTGCAGAACTCGTACAGGTGCAGGAGGGTAAAGAGCGTGTTATTGCGTATGGCAGTTTTAGTCTCACCCCAGAGCAACAGCGCTATTGTACAACAAGAAAGGAGTTACTAGCAATTGTCCGTTTCACCAAACAATTCAATCATTATCTGTTGGGCAGAGAATTTGTGGTTAGGACTGACCATAGCAGCCTTACCTGGCTCCTTAATTTTAAAAACCCACAAGGTCAGTTAGCCAGATGGCTTGAAGTCTTAAGCCAATACAATATGACTGTTATTCATAGACCTGGCAAGAAGCACGGGAATGCAGACCCGCTTTCCCGTATCCCTGACAACAAGCCATGCCCTGATATGAAGGTGGATATAGACCCAACCCAACTACCCTGTGGAGGATGCAAGTACTGTACAAGAGCACATAATAACTGGGGAAAATTCACTGAAGATGTGGATGATGTCGTTCCCCTGGGTAGGACAGTAGAAACAACAGAAGTACATGCTGCTTTATCCTGGTTATTTAACGAGAAGGGATACGATGACATGGAACTCGTTTGTCAAGAGTTAAGCTCAGACTTGCATCATACATCGTTGGAAATTTCCTTTACAGACCCAGATAAACCTACTCTCATTAGTATGGAGGAACAACAGTGTAACCAAGTCCGCACTGCTTCCCGTACTAGTGGGTTTGCAGGCATTGAATATTCACCCGAAGTCCTGAAAGAATTCCAGGAAAAAGATTCTGATCTTAGATTGATACTGCCTTATCTGGTGTCAAATGAAACCCCATCTGAAGATGAAATCTTTATAAGCAGCAAGGCAGCAAAGAAATACTGGGTTAATAAAGAGATGTTTTTCATTGATGGTGAGGGAATACTACGCAACAACCCAAAGAATGGTGGAGAACCAAGACTTGTGGTGCCGAAAACCTTGGTAGATGAAGTACTAGGACTATGTCATGACTTACCAGTTATGGGACATCAAGGTGTGTCAAGAACATATTTACGAGTAAAAGAGAAGTTCTATTGGTATAACATGAATCAGTCAACCAGAGATTTTGTAAGAACATGTGACATTTGCAGTAAACACAAAAAGGCCAACAGAAAAGCGAAGTGTCCCATGACAAAATACCAAGCTGGAGTACCAATGGAGAGAGTTCACCTTGATTTCTTGGGTCCTTTACCCGAATCTACCTCAGGCAATTCGAACATTTTAGTCATGGTGGACCAATTTACCAAATGGGTGGAATGTGTCCCATTACCATCGCAAACAGCTGAAGTCACAGCTAGAGCTGCTGTAAATGAATTTTTTGCTCGATTTGGTTTTCCCTTCAATATATTCACTGACCAAGGGAGAAACTTTGAGAGCAGACTCTTCAAGACCATTTGTGACATACTTCAGATTCATAAGAGTCGTACAACGCCGTATCGCCCTTCAGCAAATGGGCAGGTCGAGAGATTTAATAGGACACTTATGGATGCTGTACGCTGTTTTGTTGACAAGTCACAAAATAATTGGGATGAACATTTACCTCAGCTTGCTAGTGCTATTAGATCATCCGTTAACAGACACACTGGTTTCACACCAAACAAACTTATGTTAGGCCGTGAAGTAAGCGTACCCGCTGACCTAGTTTTTCGACCACCTGAAACCATTGAATCCATTAACCATGAGGATTATGTGTCAAGATTACAAGAGTCTATTAGAACAGCCCATGAAGTGGCCGGAGATGTATTGAAGACGCATCAAGTTCATATGAAGAGAGATTATGATGTCAAGATTCATACCAGAGAATATGCAGTTGGTGATCTCATCTATGTGTTGGATAGCGCCAAAACTAAAGGTCGTTCCAAGAAACTAGATCCACCATGGAAGGGACCTGGCATTGTTGTTCAAAAAATATCTTCATACCTCTACAAGGTTAAACTTCAGAATACAGTCTTCATTACCAACCATGACAGATTAAAAAGGTGTCGTGACAGAAAAATACCGGACTGGCTACGCCTATGCCAGCACCGTCTGCGAAATGGAGAAAATATTCTTCAGTTGCAATCAATTGACACTTTTTGTATATGTGACAAACCTGATGACGGACGTCTTATGATACAGTGTGACACATGTGATAATTGGTATCATGGAGCATGCGTCGCAATCACTCAAGAGGTAGCAGATACCTTGAAGACGTATATCTGTCCTAGGTGTCAAGTGTAAAAGCGTATTATATACTGTCACTAATTTATGTTGTTTTTTTTTGTTTCCTAATATAGAATAGGTATCATGGAGAGAGATCCAGAGATTGAGGATTATGTGACAGCAGACGAGGCCGACATTACAGACGACGAGTACCTAACAGACGATATGGGTCAAGCTCATGACACTGAATCAGATGAGGATTCATCTAGCCCAGACGAGGGGCTTCCACCATTTAAAAGGAGGAGACGTGAGTCAAGCATTGCGCCTGCTCAGGAACCTGTGGACGTCTCAGTGAGAAGTCATACTCAAGGAGATAAGAGATCTTCTTGTCCAGTGGAGGGGTGCCATGGACGCTCCAAACACTTGAAGCACCATGCTTGGGAACACCATATTCCCAGAGTTTTTTGGGACCGCCCTTGGAATGAGCTCAACGCCTCGCCTGATTATCACAGGCTGAGAGCCTCCTGTCTCCTTGCGCTTGCCCAGTGCATTATAGGTCCAGCAGCAACAGTCCAGGACTTAGTGGGCTACGTCAACGAGAATATACCATTGCCTAGAGAGTATCCGATCATGCCCAGGACACTTAATCAGATGGGTCAGTTGACCCGTACGATGAGGTGGCCTATGACGGACACTTTCCAGATGTTGCCAATAAACTCACCAGCAGTGTTGATACATTGGAGGATAATGATGGCCATAGTGTGCACGATGTCACCAGAAAAGAGATCCGAGTTCAAAACATGGGGAAAAGAGGACCTGGCCAACTTAGAAAACCAAGTAAAGTCAAGAAGGGTGATTCTGCAGAGAGAAGACCAGGAGTCCTTTGAGCAGAGTGATGGGGCAGAGGAAGAAGATGAGTGGACTGTTGTAGATGAGTGCTGGAGTGGTGAGGAAGAGGAGGAAAAGGAGTATGAAGTTCTTGTAATCCAAGAGGGGTATTCGGCGGAAGATGAGGAGCAGGACAAGGTCAGGACCAGGGGGACAGTAACAGTATTAAAAGGTCCCATGACCATAGTTGTGAACACTGGCCACCCAAAAGACAAGGAGGCCATCCTGGAGGGCCTGGAGAGGAATGGCGTATCGGTAGATGATGTCGAGTGCTGTATCTGCACCGGGTGCAATGTGGACTTCGTGGGAAACCTTAATCTCTTCCCGGATACAGTTTATATTGCATCCGTTGACATGTGCCTGGGTGACTTACACCACAGACGCCTCGCTTCTGGCCGACCATTTCCAATTGACAAGCGTGTAGAGGTCATCTCCACCCCAGGGTCATCATGTACAGACATATCTGTCTTGGTGAAGGACACATACCTTGGGATAGTAGCAGTTGTCGGCGACCTGTTTAGGTGCCGGGAGGACCTAGAAGATCAATCAATATGGAGAAGGGACAGTACTAATCCAGAGCGGCAGGAAGTCAGCAAGGCCAAGATTCTGGAAATTGCTGACTTAATTGTTCCCGGTAGAGGACCAATGTTTAAAGTCCCTGTATGACTCTTAATATAATTTAATTGTAATTTTTCTTACTTTGCAAGGTATGCAGGGTAATTAAGTACTTAATCTATGAACATTATGATAGATTTGTTTTTCTTTTCTATCACTTGTTTCATTTCATATATATGATTAGTGATTTGTACATGTTTTCATTCGTTACATGTATAGTTTAACATGCATCATACAGTTATATTTGTTTTGATATAGTGCATGAGTGAGTGATGTAGGGAGAGATTCGAAAGTGTTTTCTATTACCTGTTGTAATTTTTTTTTTCTCTCTCTCATTAGCCAAAAGGGTATTACATGTACTTAAAAAGTGTATAATGATGTATGTGACATATATTCATAACAATCATATTGGTGCCATGTTACATGTGATGTTGTCTGCCAAAATGCTTTATTTCTATGTCCATTACAAAGATAACAGTATTATTATTATTTGCATAATATTTTTTAATCTTGTTAAAGTATTCAGATTTAGTCACATTTAAGAATAAGTAACTTTAAAAATTTAATAACAAGACTTACATATGATGTTTTAAGGTACAGGAGTACCTCCCTCTTTTTCAAAAGGGAGGGGAGTGTAGTGTGGTATGAGTGTGTTCAGGTACGAGTTAACTTGACACCGGTTGGGATGCGCATGAGCGGAGAAGTTGTCGTCTGGTCTGAGTGAATGGTGGTGGTGTGCGTTTGCAGGAGAGATTGCACATTTGGTCAATAATATTGTAAGTCTTGTGATTATAAAACTGAATACAACTATAAACGATTACCAGCGTTGTCAGTTTTTACATACAACACTTCACCGGTATCCTACTGAGTTATTTAACTACATTATCCCATTAAAACATTATCTACATTAAATTTGAACAAGATTTAGGGCAAGCAGAATCTGGGCGAATGGAAAAATTGGGCGAACGGGAAATCAGGCAAACAATTTTTAGGACAAACGAATGTGGAACCTAAACACCCCCACCCCCCTTGAAAAATCTTTCAACCCCTCAACAAAAAATACCCCACTATCCTAATGTCAACAGGGACCTGTGTGAATTCCAAAATATTTGCAGATATATAAATTCAGAGGCTTATATTTACATCTAGAATGCAAGACTGAAATTCCTATATATAGTCACTTCCCAAAAATGAGTTGTACTGTACATACATGTATATTTACAAAATATTAATCAGTTTCAAAAATATTTATTAAATGATGTTTTCTGTACTTGCAGGTATTTGCAGGGCACTCGATCCATTATACCACACTGATAGCTTCTCCAAGATTATAAATATGATACATGTAAACAGGTAAAAAAAATTTAAGAGAGAAATGACCATAGCAGCCTTACCTGGCTCCTTAATTTTAAAAACCCACAAGGTCAGTTAGCCAGATGGCTTGAAGTCTTAAGCCAATACAATATGACTGTTATTCATAGACCTTGCAAGAAGCACGGGAATGCAGACCCGCTTTCCCGTATCCCTGACAACAAGCCATGCCCTGATATGAAGGTGGATATAGACCCAACCCAACTACCCTGTGGAGGATGCAAGTACTGTACAAGAGCACATAATAACTGGGGAAAATTCACTGAAGATGTGGATGATGTCGTTCCCCTGGGTAGGACAGTAGAAACAGCAGAAGTACATGCTGCTTTATCCTGGTTATTTAACGAGAAGGGATACGATGACATGGAACTCGTTTGTCAAGAGTTAAGCTCAGACTTGCATCATACATCGTTGGAAATTTCCTTTACAGACCCAGATAAACCTACTCTCATTAGTATGGAGGAACAACAGTGTAATCAAGTCCGCACTGCTTCCCGTAATAGTGGGTTTGCAGGCATTGAATATTCACCCGAAGTCCTGAAAGAATTCCAGGAAAAAGATTCTGATCTTAGATTGATACTGCCTTATCTGGTGTCAAATGAAACCCCATCTGAAGATGAAATCTTTATAAGCAGCAAGGCAGCAAAGAAATACTGGGTTAATAAAGAGATGTTTTTCATTGATGGTGAGGGAATACTACGCAACAACCCAAAGAATGGTGGAGAACCAAGACTTGTGGTGCCGAAAACCTTGGTAGATGAAGTACTAGGACTATGTCATGACTTACCAGTTATGGGACATCAAGGTGTGTCAAGAACATATTTACGAGTAAAAGAGAAGTTCTATTGGTATAACATGAATCAGTCAACCAGAGATTTTGTAAGAACATGTGACATTTGCAGTAAACACAAAAAGGCCAACAGAAAAGCAAAGTGTCCCATGACAAAATACCAAGCTGGAGTACCAATGGAGAGAGTTCACCTTGATTTCTTGGGTCCTTTACCCGAATCTACCTCAGGCAATTCGAACATTTTAGTCATGGTGGACCAATTTACCAAATGGGTGGAATGTGTCCCATTACCATCGCAAACAGCTGAAGTCACAGCTAGAGCTGCTGTAAATGAATGTTTTGCTCGATTTGGTTTTCCCTTCAATATATTCACTGACCAAGGGAGAAACTTTGAGAGCAGACTCTTCAAGACCATTTGTGACATACTTCAGATTCATAAGAGTCGTACAACGCCGTATCGCCCTTCAGCAAATGGGCAGGTCGAGAGATTTAATAGGACACTTATGGATGCTGTACGCTGTTTTGTTGACAAGTCACAAAATAATTGGGATGAACATTTACCTCAGCTTGCTAGTGCTATTAGATCATCCGTTAACAGACACACTGGTTTCACACCAAACAAACTTATGTTAGGCCGTGAAGTAAGCGTACCCGCTGACCTAGTTTTTCGACCACCTGAAACCATTGAATCCATTAACCATGAGGATTATGTGTCAAGATTACAAGAGTCTATTAGAACAGCCCATGAAGTGGCCAGAGATGTATTGAAGACGCATCAAGTTCATATGAAGAGAGATTATGATGTCAAGATTCATACCAGAGAATATGCAGTTGGTGATCTCATCTATGTGTTGGATAGCGCCAAAACTAAAGGTCGTTCCAAGAAACTAGATCCATCATGGAAGGGACCTGGCATTGTTGTTCAAAAAATATCTTCATACCTCTACAAGGTTAAACTTCAGAATACAGTCTTCATTACCAACCATGACAGATTAAAAAGGTGTCGTGACAGAAAAATACCGGACTGGCTACGCCTATGCCAGCACCGTCTGCGAAATGGAGAAAATATTCTTCAGTTGCAATCAATTGACACTTTTTGTATATGTGACAAACCTGATGACGGACGTCTTATGATACAGTGTGACACATGTGATAATTGGTATCATGGAGCATGCGTCGCAATCACTCAAGAGGTAGCAGATACCTTGAAGACGTATATCTGTCCTAGGTGTCAAGTGTAAAAGCGTATTATATACTGTCACTAATTTATGTTGTTTTTTTTTGTTTCCTAATATAAAATAGGTATCATGGAGAGAGATCCAGAGATTGAGGATTATGTGACAGCAGACGAGGCCGACATTACAGACGACGAGTACCTAACAGACGATATGGGTCAAGCTCATGACACTGAATCAGATGAGGATTCATCTAGCCCAGACGAGGGGCTTCCACCATTTAAAAGGAGGAGACGTGAGTCAAGCATTGCGCCTGCTCAGGAACCTGTGGACGTCTCAGTGAGAAGTCATACTCAAGGAGATAAGAGATCTTCTTGTCCAGTGGAGGGGTGCCATGGACGCTCCAAACACTTGAAGCACCATGCTTGGGAACACCATATTCCCAGAGTTTTTTGGGACCGCCCTTGGAATGAGCTCAACGCCTCGCCTGATTATCACAGGCTGAGAGCCTCCTGTCTCCTTGCGCTTGCCCAGTGCATTATAGGTCCAGCAGCAACAGTCCAGGACTTAGTGGGCTACGTCAACGAGAATATACCATTGCCTAGAGAGTATCCGATCATGCCCAGGACACTTAATCAGATGGGTCAGTTGACCCGTACGATGAGGTGGCCTATGACGGACACTTTCCAGATGTTGCCAATAAACTCACCAGCAGTGTTGATACATTGGAGGATAATGATGGCCATAGTGTGCACGATGTCACCAGAAAAGAGATCCGAGTTCAAAACATGGGGAAAAGAGGACCTGGCCAACTTAGAAAACCAAGTAAAGTCAAGAAGGGTGATTCTGCAGAGAGAAGACCAGGAGTCCTTTGAGCAGAGTGATGGGGCAGAGGAAGAAGATGAGTGGACTGTTGTAGATGAGTGCTGGAGTGGTGAGGAAGAGGAGGAAAAGGAGTATGAAGTTCTTGTAATCCAAGAGGGGTATTCGGCGGAAGATGAGGAGCAGGACAAGGTCAGAACCAGGGGGACAGTAACAGTATTAAAAGGTCCCATGACCATAGTTGTGAACACTGGCCACCCAAAAGACAAGGAGGCCATCCTGGAGGGCCTGGAGAGGAATGGCGTATCGGTAGATGATGTCGAGTGCTGTATCTGCACCGGGTGCAATGTGGACTTCGTGGGAAACCTTAATCTCTTCCCGGATACAGTTTATATTGCATCCGTTGACATGTGCCTGGGTGACTTACACCACAGACGCCTCGCTTCTGGCCGACCATTTCCAATTGACAAGCGTGTAGAGGTCATCTCCACCCCAGGGTCATCATGTACAGAACATATCTGTCTTGGTGAAGGACACATACCTTGGGATAGTAGCAGTTGTCGGCGACCTGTTTAGGTGCCGGGAGGACCTAGAAGATCAATCAATATGGAGAAGGGACAGTACTAATCCAGAGCGGCAGGAAGTCAGCAGGGCCAAGATTCTGGAAATTGCTGACTTAATTGTTCCCGGTAGAGGACCAATGTTTAAAGTCCCTGTATGACTCTTAATATAATTTAATTGTATTTTTTCTTACTTTGCAAGGTATGCAGGGTAATTAAGTACTTAATCTATGAACATTATGATAGATTTGTTTTTCTTTTCTATCACTTGTTTCATTTCATATATATGATTAGTGATTTGTACATGTTTTCATTCGTTACATGTATAGTTTAACATGCATCATACAGTTATATTTGTTTTGATATAGTGCATGAGTGAGTGATGTAGGGAGAGATTCGAAAGTGTTTTCTATTACCTGTTGTAATTTTTTTTTTCTCTCTCTCATTAGCCAAAAGGGTATTACATGTACTTAAAAAGTGTATAATGATGTATGTGACATATATTCATAACAATCATATTGGTGCCATGTTACATGTGATGTTGTCTGCCAAAATGCTTTATTTCTATGTCCATTACAAAGATAACAGTATTATTATTATTTGCATAATATTTTTTAATCTTGTTAAAGTATTCAGATTTAGTCACATTTAAGAATAAGTAACTTTAAAAATTTAATAACAAGACTTACATATGATGTATTAAGGTACAGGAGTACCTCCCTCTTTTTCAAAAGGGAGGGGAGTGTAGTGTGGTATGAGTGTGTTCAGGTACGAGTTAACTTGACACCGGTTGGGATGCGCATGAGCGGAGAAGTTGTCGTCTGGTCTGAGTGAATGGTGGTGGTGTGCGTTTGCAGGAGAGATTGCACATTTGGTCAATAATATTGTAAGTCTTGTGATTATAAAACTGAATACAACTATAAACGATTACCAGCGTTGTCAGTTTTTACATACAACACTTCACCGGTATCCTACTGAGTTATTTAACTACATTATCCCATTAAAACATTATCTACATTAAATTTGAACAAGATTTAGGGCAAGCAGAATCTGGGCGAATGGAAAAATTGGGCGAACGGGAAATCAGGCAAACAATTTTTAGGACAAACGAATGTGGAACCTAAACACCCCCACCCCCCTTGAAAAATCTTTCAACCCCTCAACAAAAAATACCCCACTATCCTAATGTCAACAGGGACCTGTGTGAATTCCAAAATATTTGCAGATATATAAATTCAGAGGCTTATATTTACATCTAGAATGCAAGACTGAAATTCCTATATATAGTCACTTCCCAAAAATGAGTTGTACTGTACATACATGTATATTTACAAAATATTAATCAGTTTCAAAAATATTTATTAAATGATGTTTTCTGTACTTGCAGGTATTTGCAGGGCACTCGATCCATTATACCACACTGATAGCTTCTCCAAGATTATAAATATGATACATGTAAACAGGTAAAAAAAATTTAAGAGAGAAATTTAAAATTTGTTGCAGAGCCTGAGGTGCTGTAAACCAACTTTTATTTGCGGCAACTTTATTTCACGATATACCAGGGATAAACTAGTTCGCAACCTCTAACTTTCGCAATCAAGCCTTTATGCATCTGTTTTTCGTAGACAAATATACTTTTAGGACAGGTTCGTGGGGAGAAATATTCACGATGACAAGGCTCTCGCGAAGTTCGGGAAAGTTTCTCACACAGTAATAAAAGTTGGTTAATAGTATTCATTGTTTTATAAAAAGGATATTGTTATTACATGTATAACAATTTTGTTATTATACATGTATAACAATTTTGTTACTATACATGTAGCAAAACCTTAACCATTCAGCTTATTTTTGCTTTATCGTGCATTTCTTTAATGTAAATATATTCTTTGTTTATTTGTAAAATACATGTTTTAAATAAAGTGACAAAGGGATAATGAACTCATTGTTATTAAACCTACATTATCTGACATTTTTGAGTTTCTCTGTAGGCACAGGTACTTGTCATCACAAGGATCAGAATTCAAGTGCCAGAATAGTCCTAACTCCTAAATCATCCTGATTTGTCAAAAGTACATGCAAGTATTTTATTATTTTTTTTGGACACTTTTTTAGCTCACCTGAGCCAAAGGTTCAATAACAGAAAAGCTATGTTAAGTCATATTGACATTTTCACAAGCATCATCATGTATTGAAGATGTAAATTTGTTCAAATCATGAGTACCCTTTGCGGTTAGGAGGGAAATGATGGGGAGTCAAGTTCCCTCGCCACCCCACCACCACACCCTTTCAGTAAACTTTCAATTCTGATCTGATTCATACATTTTCCTAGCCCATGTGCTCAGGTTAGCGATGTGGCCCCTGCACCTTTTGTTTTTAAATTTTGACAATTTTGATTACGCTGAAAATATTTCATTTAATTTTTCTCACCTAAGCCAGAAGCTTCAGTTAATTAGCCCTTTTTGCAGTCAAAATTTGTCTGTCATAATTTTTTTTCTTTCTCGTTGTTGATTGAAACTATTTTACTTAAAAAGAACAACTGTAAAAATGCCAGCTTATAAAAAGCTAGTTTTGTGAGATTCTCAATATGATACATTTCAGCTACTGACACAAGAGAAGAATGTGGAGCAAGTGCCAATAAAGGTTTGACTGATGGGGTATACCTGACTTCTGGGCATTCTGGTTATCACCATCCGATTCAGACATGCCAGAGAAGATCAACTTCAAGGTGACCCTTGCATTGGTAAGGATTGAAATCTTTGAGGATACTTGAGGCATACATGTGTCAATTTATTGTTATTTGTTTTTACACCTATTGCTTCTTTATCCATCAGTTGTTGTGTGTCATCAATTGTCCAATAACGACTAAACCATTATCAACCAAATTTTGCATGGTAAAATTTTGCATTTCCAAAATTGTACACTATGTTGCCCCTGGGTAATAGATAGGTTCTGATGTTATGGTACATATATCAAAAATGCAGTAATTCTTTGACAGTCATCTTTTCTGATCCTAGGTACTCAGCAAATAAACTTAATGCATACATATATTATAGTTTCCTATGTTTAGTTGTTTACACCTTTATATATGCCTATATGACAGCTTAAAGCAAGTACTGAAGTTTCTGCAATGCAAGGCAAACTCAAAGGTCAAGGTGAAAAGGTCAAAATTGTTAGCATCTGAAGGATTTAGGTTTAGTCATATAGAATAAACCTGTGAAATGTGAGACATTTAGTATTAACTGTTAAAAAGTTATGGCCTAGATTTCTGATTATAGTTTTTAAAAGTGGGTAAAACTCTTAGGTCAAGACCAAATGGTAAAAAAAAACTCTTTGAAGGGTCTTGTCACAATGATTACAAAATAATGTGAGGTATCAGATTGAAAGCACAAGATTTTCAAAATTATATCCTAGTTCAAAGTTCAGGGATTTTTTTGTTGTTGTTGTTGTAAAAGTGGATCAAACCCTAATATCAAGGTCAAGAGGTCAAATTTTATAGTACCCCAAAAAAGTTCTTGTCACAAGAAATACACCTGGTGAATATGAAGCCATAGCTCCACCCACTCATAAGTAATGGATAAGGTTAAAAGTTTTGCAGACAAATACTGGTAGACAAAAAGATGGGCATACAGTGCAAAAACAAAATAAACCTAAGAATCTTTGATAATGGAAGCAAAATTAATGCATAATTATTTTTTCATGACCGTTTAAATAATTACACAGATTCAAACTTATTAATATTACTTTAAAAAGTTGATTTTGTTATTTGATTTCATAATAAGAAAAATAAAATGAGAAATAAATTAAATTCATGACCAGTCTTAATAATATTTTTATATTTATTTCTGTTCTTTGCTTTTCAGTGAGCTTTTGCTGATGGACACAAATTTTTCAGAAAAAATCCAGTTACCACATTAATCACAGCCTGATAGATTGCTGGTGTGACTTCAGAAGAAACATAGATGCAATGGTAGGTAAATTTTGCCTTCTAAATTCCCTTGCAACACATACAAATTGCATCATCAGATCTAGGTCAATGAAAAAGAGACAATATTATCTCAAGGTTTGTTTGAAATCTGACACAAGGATATACTGTTTAAAGTTTAAAGTCATTTGCAGGAAAATGTTTTCATTTTTAGCTCAAATGAGCCAAAGGCTCAGCGAGCTTTTCTGATCACATTTTGTCTGGCGTCCGTCTGTCTGTAAACTTTTCACATTTTCCTCTTCTTCTCAAGACTTGCCACAAAGCATCCTTAGGTGAAGGGGATTCAAGTTTTTTCAAATCATGACCCCCGGGGGTAGGGCGGGGCCACAATGGCTGACCAAAGTTTTATATAGAAATATATAGGAAAATTCTTAAAAAATCTTCTTAAGAACAGCAAACCAATAATTGGTTATATTTATATGGAAGCATCCCCAGGTAGTGTAGATTCAAGTTTGTTCAAATCATGACCCCCGGGGGTAGGATAGGGCCACAATGGCCGACCAGAGTTTTATATAGAAATATATTGGAAAATTCTTTAAAAATCTTCTTAAGAACAGCAAAGCCATAATTGGTCATATTTATGTGGAACCATCCCCAGGTAGTGTAGATTCAAGTTTGTTCAAATCATGATCCCCTGGGGTAGGGCAGGGGCCAAACTTTTGGATTTAAACTTTTCAATAGTATTGTAATCCAATTTCTCCTTTTTCCTAGCCACAATGCTCGGGTGAGTAATGTGGTCCATGGGCCTCTTGTTTTTTCAATAATTTTATACTTAAGAAACATTGATGTATGATTTTTAATTAATTATAATTTATGATGTATGATTTTGAATTTTTTAAAGATCATTTACAGTTAAGGCAATATGAGTTCAACCTTATACTGGGATGATATTTGTTCATATTTTATGTTATCTTGATAAATATGCTATGGAAATATTGACTTTGGAAATGCTGTTGTAAAATTCATGACTGTATTTCATTTACCGGTACCAAGTAGTCATTACAATTATTTTCTCTTGCAGATGAAACATTATCTCCAGACATATGGGTGGCCCTTGAGCAGAGAATTGTCAAAAATTGAACCATTCAATAAAGAAGATTAAGAAACAGAATGTGTCCAGTTGTTTGTTCATCAAAAGAATAAAGTGAATAATCATAGTGGTGCTTCCTCAAAATCTGCATGTGTTCAAATTAAGCAGTTTCAAATTATGATTAAGATAAATTTCATTAAGTCATTTGCTGGATCAGATTTTGAGATTGTGCTTATTGCATCTTTTTGAATATCAGTAACAGTGAAACCTTAATGATTATTTGTACAAATTCATATACAGATCTAAGTATTAGAATTTCCTAATACTTTTCTTCAAATGGATTAAAAGAATTGAAAGTCCTATAAACTGTGTACATCACATGGATTTGATATGAATATCACATAAAATTCACATGAATTTCATATGAAAATCTGTAAAGAAAGTAGCAAAAATATTCATATGAATTTCGTGCGAATTTTTTTTCGCATGATATTCATGCGAATTTCATGTAAAAATCACATGATATTTTTATGCGAATATCATGCGACTTGTTTTTCGTCTCCTTTTCATGCGAAGAATTCACATGATATTCGTGCGAATTTCATATGAAATTCATGCGAGCCACTTTTGCCTGTGTATAGATGGAATAAGCACATTTCTTTTTTGATAAGTTTTTAATTAAGATAATCTCCCTGTATTTCTTCAAGATAAAGTCCTTCAATAACTTGTAGATCAGCATCATAGTGTAGTGGAACGGAGAGTTGTCTTTCCTGTGTTTACTGATAATGTTAGGAGTTATCGCTCTTTAGTGTAACTCTCATGTGTTCTTGTATTCTTTACCTGCGTTGACCCGGAGCGGTCCCGCCGCATTTATGTTTTTTGCAGTATACCTCTGCTACTTTGTTCCATCTATGTCCTCGCAAAATGTAAGTTATTTATACATCATGTTTTCATAAGTGTATGTTGCAATAGCATTTTCAGCACGCATGGTTATTTATCTTGTAAAATAGTTTGCCATGCTACATTATAAAGACCGCCATTTTTTCTCGTGTTTACAGTGAGTTAATCTTATTTCTTTACCTTGTTTACATTTTTGTTTAATGGACGTTGAGATTGAATACTGTTCGTTATTTCCATATCCTTATTCTTTAATAACTGATTTATTTAGGCTTACTATTTTTCTCATGGTGCACACTATATTTATATTTAATTACGTGGTTATTTCCCTGGCTAGGCACCATGTCATAAATTACATGTACACTTTTTCATTGTCTCAGTATTGTTGTATTAAAGTTAGGTTACTATGTGAATTATTTTGATATGAATTTGTATATTGTTTTGTGTCTTGATTGTCATATGTACTTATGTTTTTGTTATGTTTTTTCAGCTCTTTACCACATTCACACATATGCAACTGATTAAAGAATTCTGAACATCAGATTGGACTTGGTTATACTTACTGTTTTCCAAACAGTACACATAGGTGTTTCCCCAGTGATCTTTAGCTTCTCTTCAAGTGTTCTTTCCCCCTGTAATCACTGCACTAAGTAATAATCTTCTTCATCATCTGTATAAACAGCTATGATTACATCTTTTTGTATAACATCTGCCTGATTTCTGCTACTAGCATCTAAATTTGAATCATCATAATTCGGTCCTGATATTTCGTGCTTCATCATGTAGTCTTCCAATGGTCCAGCAAAACTGTTACACAAATAATAATTTTATTGATGCATTGATTGCAGGTGTAATGTGAGAGGTTCTTTGTCTGTATATTGCAGGGTTCTACAAATGTCCCTTGATGAAAACACCGAACTGATGGTAAAAGTTTGAACATCCTCCCACGATTTCATTTAAATATTTGAATATTAACCGCTTGCAGCCTGCAGAACTGTCTATTGGAACATAAATGGGAAATACAAAAGTCATAGAGTTGTTCTGCATTTTTCGCAGGAAACAGCCATGTCTGCTTGTTTATTTTATCAGCCCTCCTGCTGCATCCTGAACCCTTTTCGCATGCGATGTCTTGAAAAAGTTCCTGATATAATTTTGTATCCAAAATCTTGTTTTAGGAAACTCAAATCTCCAAAGCAGTATCGAGATTTGTACTGTGATGCGCAACCATCAGTAAATTCATCCATCATTTCCGTTTGGTAATTTATGGATTTTAATTAATTACAAATCTGTTTCTGTACTTCATGTGTAAAGTTATTGTCATGTCTGGTATCTGAAAGGTTAATGGAGACAAGTTTTTCCAACAATCAATTTGAATCCCCATGGATAATAAATTGCGCTGCGTAATTAGCAGACCTATTTTTGTAATCATATGACGCAGAATTTTTGCAAAATCGTATCCGTGAAATCGACAGGTTTACATTTCTGTAGCCAAGGATCTGTTTCCTGTAATTTTGTTTTCAATGAATTTTCTCATGGATTCTTGACTGTAGTTTTGGATTATCTTTTTCATTGTCATGTTGCATTTATATCAATTTTAAAGATGTGCTTCTGTTGATTGCCAAGATTCCGTAAAGGAATAAGCAGATACAGTTGAAATATGTAAAATCCCCAAGGATAATGCAGAATTTAAATTTGAAAAAGAAAAATTAAGAGATGACATCAGTTACAGAATTGTTGACATAATCTACTAGCTTCAGTCCAAACACAAAAAAGGTACTGAACGTTTCTTCTGCCCATACTTCTGATAGCAATCAATACTGTTACGGTAAACTTGATGTTGAAGGAAAATGGTATACTGTAACTAGATATAATTGAGATGGTGACCAGCTCAAAGGGCCCCACTTTCTAGCTGCAGATCTGTAGCTATCCGGAAAAATATATATTGAAAACCGGGCGCATTTTTTTGTGCGCAATAAATATACAGTTTTTTAAATGGGTGGCACTGTAGTTATCCGGTCTATCAAAATATATTTTTCCGGATAGCTACAGATCTGCAGATCTGGCGACCGTTTCACTAACAAATCGTAAACGTAAGATAACGTTTACGTCTGCTAAAGGTGCACGTAAACGAGCGTTTCACAAAACATATCGTAAACGTAGAACTTACGACTGGCGAGTTACGACCAACTTATTGGAACTCTTCTAACAAAGGAGGTGTATTTGCATTTATTTGAGAGCGGGAGAAGCGGAGAGAAAAAGAGAGAAAGATCATTATGTATATACGACATAAAAATTTTAATATGTTTCATTATTTGTTTTAGTCGTCAAAAGAAAAGAAAGAAAGAAAGAAAAAAAAAAGCAAGAAAAAAGAGAAAAAAGGCAATAATTTATTATGTATGGAAAATACATGTAGATCACTAAAGAATATTATTGCAATATCTATTCTATATGCATACATTTTGCAAGTGACTAAAGTTCTTTTCTATAAATTATAACTTAGATCAAATTTTACGTATCAAATATCTTTATTCATTCTTGCATCTGTGTATCTTGATTATAAAGCATAGTCCACAATGGTGTAAATGTTTAATTTTACTTAAATCTAAATTTGTTTCCCAAAAAAAAAAAAAAAAAAAAAAAAAAAAAAAAAAAAAACGAAACATATATAAAAGTTGTTTTCGTTTCATGTCTTTGTTAGAAATTACAGATAATTGATACATGTGATACAATTCGGCATGTTTATTATTTCAAATACTGCCAAAACTAACACGCATGCATATTTTAAAAAAATATTTTTAAAATATTAATAAGTAAGCAAAGTTGTTAGCAAACTATCCATCGAAATATCTCGCTCTAATCTTAGACATCGGGAAAGTAATTCAGAAAAAAAAAATACTTTCATAAATTGCAAATAAATTTTATCAATAAAAATTATTCAATCTAAATTAATTCAAATTGTCTTAAACAAACGCTGATCCAACGACCGGCAAAGCTCTCCTTTTATAGTTTGTATATAAGAACTATGGCTGTAGTAATGGTTTCATAAAAAGGTATCAAGTTACCCTAATTTCACCCGAGAGGCAAATTGAAATTGATTATTGAACAAATTTTAATTTTAACACCCCCTCCCCGAAAAAGGAGGGGCACATTTACATGTAACTCCCAAGAGTAATTAATCTGAAAATCAAAGGAAAATTATAAACTGTCCAAATCCTAGAATTTGCCGGTGCCCGAACTTACAGCAACAAAAAGTGGGAACGGGGAGGGGGGGGGGGGATATCTTAAGAAAGATCTACTACATGTACATGTATATGGCAAAATATATGCCCAAAGAGGGCACACCTTCCGTGTTCTACGGGCCACTGTTTATATTTATATACAGGTATGTTAGTTTTCATAAGTTAGAAAGGTTTATTTGATTTTATTTTGACTGACCAAATACCCTCCACGTAACTTAATTTTCATTTTACAGAAACTTGGTTAATTTCACAAATTCACGTATATATGTGCATGTTCCCGTGATGCTTAATTTATTTAGAAAAGAAACAGTGAGAAATAGAGTATTTTTAGTTTAAATTTATTTCTGTGTCATTATTCATTTCTGTAAAGGGGGAGAATGTGCAGATTTTCTAAGCGATCGTATACATGTACATAATGCATTCGGCTTTCGATCTAATTTTAAACTGTTTTTTTACTGTTTGATTTTTATGAGAGCAGAATATATTGAGCATTAAAATACAATTCATTTGAAAATTCAAACTATTTCTTATATAAGTTGTGAATCTAATTTTTTGTAAATTGTAACATTATCTTCTTTTTTTTTTTACTTTGACAGTGTCATTTTAAGATCGGACTCGGTCTACGCAAAATACTATTGTTGTTAATAAGAAGCAGACAGAAATGTAAGAAAGTGACAAATAACTTAGTTTCTTGCTTATATTTTCGTTTTTTCATGAAATGACTCGCACGTAAGTATTTTAAGAGTGCCCCTGACCACTCGTAGAGTTACGATCACGTTTAATCGTAACTCCCAAGTCGTAACTCTTAGTGAAACGCACTTACGTGCAACGTTCAAGTTTCCGTCTACCTTTACGAGCTACGACCTGTTAGTGAAACGGTCGCCAGCAGCTACCCGCTTTCAAGAATGAATATGAAGATGTAATGTAGTTT